TGTGGGGGAGGACGGAGTGGAAGGCCAACAAGAAAGATGTCCTGTGGGGAGTCTGTTATAGACCACCCGACCAGGATGATTTAAAAGAAGGGTAGATGAGGTGCTTAGGGGCATGGTTTAGTGGTGGGATGGCAGTGCTAGGTTAACGGTTGGACGTGATGATCTTAAAGGTCTTTTCCAAGCTAGATGATTCTACGATTCCTGAGTGTGGAGGCTCCGTGAGAGGCCGGGCAGCTCTCTGACACGATCTGCTTTCCTGATGACTGCAGGAACGCGCTTGCTGTGTGGTGGGAATAATCTCAGGAGATGCAACAGGTGAGGGTTGAGGTGGGGCGCCTGGTTGCAGACATCCACACCTCTCTTGTACTGGGAAGGCCAGAACTGGACACAAGACTCCAGGGGTGGCAGGAGTCCTGTGAAACAAGAGTGGACCTACTACTCACCTCTGGGGTACGTCTCGCCCCCGGAAGGTGTAGGATGTAGTCAGCTGTGTTCTGTAGTGGGTGCGTTGGAACTGGCTGGGACCAGTCATGTCTGACGTGGGGCAGCCACGGCCTCTCCTCATAGAGGCTCTCTTGGCAGTACCCCCGCTGCCAGCCCCTGGACACGGACACCCAAGCCACCATGGCACTGGGCAAGGGTGTCTGGAGCAGCGCAAGTGCCAGGGCAAGGAAAGGCAGCGGACTAGGTGGAGGGAGCGTAGCTGGTGCAGGATCTGTGACAGGGATATCTGCCAAGAAGCTTTCCAAGGCCAGTCTTCTGTCCAGGGCCTCCACATCAATGGGTCCCCCCACTCTTTGCTTGCATGGCATGGAGACGGTTCACTACAGGGCTCCATCTTTATCCTCTTCTAGGTGCTGCCTCTCATCACGACCTGGCAAGGCGCTACAAGTTGGCTCATCCCAGAAGGAGCTGTTGCGGTGTCCTGGGTGCTTGTGCAGCTTGTTGAGGGTGGAGGCACGCAGCAGGCCCTTGGCACGTGCCTGGGGCCACTTTGGTGGATGAAGCTCCCCATGACGATGTGGAGCTAGAGGGGCTGAGTGGGACAAAGCCCCATGCAGCCCCAGCCCGTGTCAGGCGGAGCCAGTGCCCGCTCCTTGCCTGTCACAGCCGTGCCCTCAGACAGTGGGGGTAGGCCTCTGTGAGGTCAGGCACTGTGGGCCATAAGCTGTGGGCCTGGGAGGAGCCTGCAGTGTGCTGGTGGATGTGTACCTGTTGCACACACTCTCCTCCCGCACATCTCCAGAAGACCTGCCTGGACAGGCAACACTGCTGCAGCTGAAGGAGAGCACGTAAGCTTGCGGAAGAACTTCATTTCTCACCAGGATGAGAAAAAAGGCTCCTCAAAGAGCACAAGTGGCTGCACTGTCAACAAGCGGAGCCAGAAGCAGCCCAGCAAGATCTCAGGAGGCCCAGGACAACAGCGGGCAAGGGACTACACGCTGCAGTGCTGCAGAAAATGAGGGTAAGCTCAGAGCTGCCTTTCACCCCACGTTTGCGCCAAGCCTGCCTGGCTTGGCTGGGCCCCACATCCCTTTAGAACCAGACGACAGAGCTGGCTACCATGTCCGTGTCTTTGTGAGACACTGTAGTAACTATGGGGTACCCCAGGACTCTTGCCACCCTCCATCCCCAGACATGCCATCAGTGCCCTGCCTGATGGGACCCTGCCCGTCGCTCTGAGCCCGCTGCCAGCTGCACCCCTCTGTAGGGCATAACCGCAGCCCTGCCTCTGCCCCAGGGAGGGGGTGCGTAGGACCAGCGCCCACCTCCCTGCAGGGATCTGGCATGCCCTGGACCCGTGTCCTCCAGAAGGGTCCTCAGGCTTTTCTTCGGTTTCTTTGCCCAGGGTCGGGCTTGACGGTGACAGTGGCTGCGGTCTTCCTCCAGAGGTGCCTCAGCCCAGGCGTCGCCACCGTGTGAGTACAACACTTGTCCGGTATGGACGCAGAGACAAGGGGTGCCGGTGGGTCAGGGTGAGCAGGGGGAGGCTGGTGGTGCTCCCCACCATGAGACCCTGGCTCCTCCAAAACTGCTGCCCCTGGGTTTGTGAAAAGAAATCCCCCATGTGCAGGGGCTCTGTCCTTGAGCGCTGCTAACACCAGGACTCCCTCTTTTTCAGGAAAGGGATCACCACCTTGAAAAATAAGATGCTCACGATCCTCTTTGTGATGAGCCTAAGTGCTCTCGGT